CTGGATCATTCCATCTCGTGCCAGTGCCATATTCCCACCGGCTGGGAATACTCAGCTCTGTGACCAGCACATCGCGGTTCCTCAGAGTGAGGAAATGCCCGTTGTCACTGCAGCCAAGACCTGCATTGTCAGCCTGCCAGATTCTCAGACAGCACTGGGAACGGTGAGGCTTCTCAGGCCACAGCAGTTTTCCCTGGAGCTGGGAGGGGTGGGTGCAGAGGGTGTGCCCTGGGACCTGGCATTATTAAGTTTGGAAGTACCTGGTGTCCTCATAAAGACCACAAGGAAGAAACTGACTCCTGACTGCCCAGGGTGCCTCGATTTACTGGTATGGAGGACCTTGGGATGTGGCACTCTAAGAGTCCTCTTAATCTTATTCATCGTACTTATTTTGACCTATACGTCTGTCACTAACAACCAGACCAAAGCTGACAGCCACAGGGTTCTTCTGTTGTTCATGCTGGAGCACCTTTGTGGGGTCCTGATCAAGTCCAGGACTCCGCCTCACAGGGCAGACAGTGGCATGCTTTACTAAGGTAAACGATTTCATGGCCTAGCCTTAATAAGAAGCTTTAAGAACTATTCTATAAATTGGAAATGATAAGCTGGGTGTGTGGTTCACACCTGTAATTCTAACACTTGGGAGACTGAGGCGGGAGGATTGCCACAAGTTCAAGCAAATCCAGGGCTGTATATAGTGTGTTCCAGGCTAACTTAGGCTACAGAGGAAACCCTGTCTTAAAAATAGAAAAGAAAATCAGAAATGACTATGTTCGTGTTCCCTGGAGAAGTGCATTGCTTGTATGTGGGTTTGGGAAATACTGCCAAGACAGAGTAAGAGGATGGAGAACTCCAGACCCAAATTAATTTTGTAAGCTGAGTGACAGGTCTGCTAAGGTACTAAAGATCTCAGCAAATGCCTGCAAGATATATGTATTCTTAATTATCTCGCTGCTAAACCATCACTTTGATTACTCCTCAGTGTATGTTAATTAGCCCCTTAGTGTCTGCCACGATCCCGCATCCTCTGTCTGCGGCTGGCATTCACAGACCTCCAGGACCTCTGTTAAGATACAGCTAGACACTGTCCCTCATACTTGTCGTCTGGAAACGGTGTTCAGGTAGGACAGGGACTTGCCATGTGGCCGTTCCTAACACTGCAGAGGAGCAGCCTTCCTTGTTGATTGAGGATTTTCTTAATGTTATGATAACCTCAAGATAAAATGCTAAATTAGCATCTTTATGTACAATGTGGTTAGACAGAGGCCTTTTTATGTGGGTACACATAGATGATAGATGGATTTTTTTATTATGTAGTGTGTACCTCATCTTTGTCCAAGTAGAAGACTGTGTAATTGTGCCGTGCGGGTGGACTACTGCATGGTACCAGAACCTGTTGGGGGAGGCTGTTCATTTATTTCCCGGCTGCCCAGAATCCTGAAGTAATCACACAGAAATATGTATTAATTATAATACTGTTTGCCCAATAGCTTAAGCGTGTTGCTAGCTAGCCTTTACATCTAGAATTAACCCATTTCCATTCTTTTATATTTTACCATGAGGCTCGTGGCCTACTGGCAAGGTTTCAGCTAACAGGTTGTGTCTTTCTCCTCTGGCGGCTTCATGGTGTCTCACTGACTTTGCCTTCTTTCTCCCAGCATTCAGTTTAGTTTTCCCGCCTAGCTCTACTCTGCCCTATCACAGGCCAAAGTAGTTTCTTTATTCATTAACCAATAAAAGCAACACACATACAGAAGGATGTCCCACATCAAGAACCCATAGAAGTTCCTCGGGAAAACTCCATCTCCTACACCCACTGCTGCCTCTGTGCCTCCTTCAGGCTGAGCAGGAGGTGGACGCTGCACCATCAGGAAAGGACTAGTGTGGAAGTCTCAAAATTAAGTGTTCCATTTGTGTGATTATTAATAAATGGTATATAAAACAGAACAGTAGGCTCGACAAAGCAGTCAGCTTTAAAGATGATAAGATCATTCTTAGTCACCACTAAAAGCCAGGCTGCCAGCGACCATATTTGCATTTTCTTTATACTCTGAAGTCAGAGCTCTTGAACTCTGCTTGTTTTGGTTGGTCTGAGAGCAAGTAAGGATAGTTTAGATCGTTTAGACACCAAATGAAAGAAAGGGCTAAGTCTGCAGGCCAACAGTGCTGTTGAGCAGTGGAGTATCGACGTGAAGTAGCTGTGAAAGGAGATGTTTGGGGCAGTGCGTGCTTTCGTGAGACCTCAAGGGACGTGCAGAACCTCACAGGAAGAGCCGCGCCAAGACGCCGTGGGAGGATTAGCTCTGTGTACCGTGGACCGTTGTCAGCCAGGCGGGAGGCTTCGGAGATGGCCTTGATGCTGAGCCCAGATCACAGAGACACAAGGCCAGGAGAACTTACACCTGAAGGGCTGGAACGCTGTGCTGCAGAGATCGTTCTGGAGGGCTTGTGGCGACGTCCTACTGCCCCTCTGTTAAAATACCACTCTCCCATTCTTCAAAGAAAAAAGAATGAAACTTAAACTCCTTCGGGTATCCCCTTCACTCCGTTTTCTCTCACCCAGATCTTTGCAGTGGCCTCCTGAGGCCAGATTCTGGTTCCTCCGTCAATGGCTGCCAGAGGACTATGTCTTTAAAACACACATCTTCAGTGTCCTTCCTGCTGCCCAGTAGTGCCCTAGACCTCTTTAGGATCAGGGCAGAGCCTCAGAGAGCCACCCGGAGCCCCTTCTTACAAGGCTGTGCTGACACCAAGTGTCTCAGAGCCCTGCCTCTATGGTTCATTGTTCCTCACTGGCTGCAGATCTGAGGGGTGTGCGGTGCCAGCTCCTCCTCAGGAAACATTCGTCCCCTTACCGCATGGTCATATGGTGTGTAGACTTCTGTTCTGTCTTTGCGCAGGCTACTGTTCACTTGTCGTTTGTTGCTTGGGCCACGTCTGTGTGCCTCGAACTTACTGTCCTCTCTAGTCCCATGTGCAGCCCCAGCTCTGGGCAGATAACTGTGTCATTTCCTACTCAATGGAAGGGATTTCTGCTTAGTCTTACCTAATCTAGTGTGTCTTCTAGAGCAAAGGGTGTGGAACAATATGTTTTGTTTAAATAGCCTCTGGTCCTGTGATTTTGCAGGGATCCATGGTTCTTAAATCAAGGGCACTCAGCTCTATTCTGTGTCTCTTCAATAATCCAAATACAGTTTTGTTCTCACAGGATTGACTGGCCAGAGCCACTGATTTGTGGGAATAATCATGGCATGATTTTGCCACCAGCATTGTCATGGCAGCAGCTGCAGGCAGGACGATGGATTAGCTATGGCAGAAACTGACCCAGGCAGGACAGCCTGCTTCTTCACTTTGCTTGTGTTGCTTGAGGGGCGTGTGTGTGTGTGTGTGTGTGTGTGTGTGTGTGTGTGTGTGTGTGTTCAGGAGACACTGAGTGATGGTAGTTCTGCCCATAGTTGAGTCCACTAGAAATTGATGCACAAAGGAAATATACTTCATGGTTTTGAACAATAACTTATTTGAATCTTTTAAATATTTTGAAAATGTTGACTGCTATACACTAAGAGCCACCAAGGTAATTCAGAGAGTGAATAGCTAGTTTTCGGAACAGGTGGGGAAAGGGTGAACTTAACTCTCTTCTCAGGGTGCCTCCTAGCAGCATCTTAGCCACAACTGGGGCAAGCTTTTCAAAGGGACTCTGTTAACCTAAGGCAAGCTTAGCTTATGGCAGAGAGTCCCACCGTGCCTTGCACAATTAGCCAGTCCTCCTGTTGCAGTGAAATTTCCCTGGGCAAGCAGACCTCTGTGCCACTACTAGCAGCCAAGAGTGAGATGAAGTGTTTGTTACTGAAGATAAGCGAAGTCCCTAAGAGGGATTGCATCTCTGAAGTGAAGGCACTTCAGCTCTTCCTTCCCTGTGACATCATGGGACAGAGGACGCTTTGGGACTCCACCCTGGATGTCTGCGGTCTTCTGCATCACTCCTTAAACCACATGTACAGATATTGTGGTTTCAGTAGGACCTGATTTTTACAGGTTAACTAATAGACTGAGGAGGAAGCAGGGCTTTCTCTCGTTCCTATTCTTCAGAAGATTTGGGGCAAAGAATTGTTTTAGTAGGATTCTCATACTACTCTCTGGTTGATTTTCATCTCTTGACTTCTGGTTTGGTGAGGTGAGGATGAGGATGCTGGTGAGGATGCTAAGCAGTGTATGCTATCAGCTCTTGTTACGAGTTAGGGCTGGAGAGGGCTTGATGCCTAAGATCATAGGGTGCTCTCATGGAGGACCCGAATTCAGCTCCCAACACCCATCTCAGGCAGTGCATGACCACCCGTGTCTCCAATGCCACAGGATCCAACATCTAAGCCCTCCATGAACACCTCTATACTCATATTCTCTCTCTCTCTCTCTCTCTCTCTCTCTCTCTCTCACGCGTGCAGTAGGTAGATAGGTAGGTAGGTAGATGAGGGAGAGATAGGGAGAGAGAAAGAGATAGAGAGAGGTAGGGGAGAGAGAGAGATGGAGAGAGATAGATAGGGAGAGAGAAAGAGATAGAGAGGTGGATGGATGGATAGATGGATAGATGGATAGATCCTAATGTACCATTAGGACTGGGCTTCTGCCTGTGCCTTAGTTTTGGACTGGGCAAGTAGACAGGGCAGGGGTAGAATGACCCAGGATTTGATCCTTGGTGCCAAACATGACAATGAAAAAAAAGAGCCATCGATTTTGCCTGCTTTTGTAATTCCTGTTTTTATCTCAAGTTCCTTACTCCTGCTTATATTTATTAAGCGTAGTGAATAATAACTCGAAACACTTGACACAATTATAAATGTAACTTATTTGTGCAACTTATGAACAGTATATTGAATATTTACCAACCGGTGGAGTTCAGCCTCTCAGAAAGGGCCAGCCTTACCCTTGCATCTCGAGATGACTGCCAGGGCCCTGTGCAGCCGACATGGTGCTCAATGTGTGACTGTTCTTTCTCCCTGCAGGCAAGGCAGCTTTCCTGGCATGAACCAGGGTGGACTTATGGCCTCCAGCTCTCCCTACAGCCAGCCCATGAACAACAGCTCCGGCCTGATGAACACACAGGCACAGCCCTACAGCATGACCCCGACAATGGTGAACAGCTCCACAGGTAACCGGTGCCACCCTGTCTTCCTGTCTCCTCTCTTTGGCTTTATGGTGAATGCCCAAATGGCCTGAGAAGGGGAATTCCTCAGTGCGTGTGGGCTAAGTCCACCCCGCTGCTTCAGAAAGCTTGCTTAGTCCGTGACTTGATGTAAGTGATTTGTCATGGTTTGTCCACTACATCCCCATGTTTCAAGCATCTTTAGATTGAACTGTATTTTCTACTTTCTCCTTATCCTGGGAGTTTCTAGGAGGATTGAAGGCTCCCAGAGCAAGAACTGTCACTGGCAGTGACAGAGGTAGGCGTGTAGGCTCTGTGCTGCAGAGGAAGAGGTCGCAGGGCCGAGCAGCTGAAGCACTCTCGGGACAACACCTTTCCCTATGTTGAGTACAATGTCAGAAATGAGAAGCTGACGTTTGGTTGAGCAGCATCCCTTTGGGTGGGACTCGACCATTGTTTTCTCTGGGCCTGGGAGGAGGTGGAAAGTCCGCCAAAGCTCTGGGACATGTCACCACACTGTGACCCTTAGCTCACGTGCTCCTCTTTACCGTTCACACAGCTTTGCCCACACTCTCTCTGTGTCTGAGTCTCCTGGAACCTAAGCTCCCCTTTCCAACCCCCCTTCCCCCACCACCACCACCACTCTCAGAGCTCTCTGTCACAGAGAACAGGCCAGAGCGTTGCCTGCCTGAACAGCGGAACCACCCAGCCCTAGGGGCTCACTTCCTGAAAGTTTAGAAAAACACAGACTAAACTGAGTCCAAACTCAGGGTTTCCAATACCTGAAACCCCCCTTCCCAGTGTTAGGCAGGTGGTGTTCACGGCAGAAATGAAGTATGCGGATCCAGCAGCCTGCCAGCTGGGAGCCGCCTCCTCCTTGCAATGCTGCCCAGCCCATACAGGGTCTGGGTCGGACAGCCTGTGTTCTGTCTGGCTTTCTGAGATAAAATTGCTTCTGAAACTGGAATAAATTTCTGTCTACTGTTAGCGATACTCATTTTTTCCCTTTTCCTTTAAACCCCAGAGCTCCCAAACGCTCTTAGTAAACAGATGGCACACGGCCCTGACCAGGAAGATCTATGTGTTCTGAAGAAAGAACCAGTTTTATGGGGCTCATAGAAAGGGTTTCATTTTATTATTCAGATAATTCAGCGATTCATTACTTCATGCAGAGGAAATCTGCTCGGTGAAAGACCATTTATCCTTACAGCTTTCTGTAAAGCATAGCAGTATATTTTTCATGGCATTGTGCATTTCAAAATATTGAATTTTTAATAATTTAAACATTTATCAAATTTTGTTCTACAATTTATATGATTTCATTTCTACATTATCGAGTCTGACGCTACCTGATAGAAAGAGATCACTCAGAAAAACTGAGGAGTATTGACCGCCCAGCATCTCTTGTGTCTATTGACAGGCCCCTGTGAGTCTTCTCTGAGGGTTAGTCTCTGAGAGGAACAGGAATGGCAGGACGTCAGCAGTGAAGCACCCCCAGAACTGTGTGCTGCCCCACACACTGGGAGTGGTTCATTGTGATGTCCACCTCTGTGGCTTAGGACCGTGGCCATGGAGATCACTTCCCACTCCCAGTGTGGTCTTCCATCACGGTGCCCTGTGGAGGAAGGTGGAGAGGTGTAGGCAGGACCAGCAGTGGGGTTTTCTGAGATTCCATTAGCACCTCCTGTAACTAGCTTCCCAGCATTCCCTTCACTGAGCCAGTTAATGGTGTTATAGAAGGTCACACACACACACACACACCCTCCTGTGTAGGAACAATGTCACCAGACTTCATGAGCAAATGATTACCTAAATGGAGACAGTATGGGTACAAATGTGGCAGGCATGTCTTCCTGAGTCTTAGCAGTTGTTGGGTGGGAAACAGTGGGGATTGTCCTCTGATGGAACGATCTGGATTCACTTTTGGGTTTGAAATTCGTTTTTAGCAAGTTGGATTAAAAAGTTTGAATCACTTAATGTTGTGAGCAGAAGTATAACATACAGGTAAACTTGTGTACCGTGCGCTGTAGTCGGGCCCGTTGTTGTTTTAGCATTTGTAGTAACTCCTTAATGCTCTGCTGTCTGCTCGTGAGGCGTCGCCTTCAAGAGGATTTCTGATTCCAACGACCAGAAAGCCCACCACCCAGAGCTCCATGATGGCCTCTCCAGAGCCACTCAGTAGGAACCAGGCCTTTCCACCATGCTGCCCCGGAGGGTAGGAGCCCCCATCTGCTGCTACAGCAAAACCTCCCCCCAGGGAGCCTTGGCCAATTCTAATCCCAAGAGTGAAGCGCCCCTATCATTTGCCTACCTAGACACTGAGTGCCAGCTCTGGTAGCCCTTACGAAGAAGGGGGTCAGTGGCACTACCACAGAACTGCCCAAGGACTGCCTACTGCAAGGCACCTGGAGTGCCCATTAGAGCTGCAGAGCCTATCCGAATTCTGAGGGTGTGTCCAGGAGGCTGTGTTATTAATAAACTCCCAGGTGATCTTCACATGCCCAAATGTGACAGCCACAGATAAGGGAACCTTCTACTCAGAGGTCACTTGATCAATCACTGTCCACCCTCAAAAAAAAAAAAAAAAGACAGCAAACCGGGGACAAGGAAGGAAGCAGGCAGAGCAGGGACAAGGGAAGAAGCAGGCTGAGGGACTTGATAAAGCTTGTCAGCCAGGTTTTGTAAGATGGAAGACTTACATGCTGAGGTCATACCAAAGTGCATCAGTGTGCCTGCTCCTGTCTGGAGGAGACACTGGTCTCTATTGTAGAGCCAGTGCAGAGGCTGGCACCTGGGCACACTATGGAGCCATGCCCTCCTCGTGTTCCCTGGTACTCCCTCAGAAGGCTGTGCTGTGAGGAAGGGTGCTTCCCCAGAGATCGTTCTGTAGCTCGCACATGCGCTGTATTCACCGTGCAATGTATTCTGCCACACATCCAACCTTCAAGCAGGCGGTGCCTGAGATGCTGGTCAGAAGGATCCCAGTGAGCTTGAGGCTAGCCTGGACAGCATAGGGAGCTCTCTAAACCAGGCTAGCCTG